AGTTTTCCCAGGCTCAAGAGAAACGAATCTTAATAACATAATTATAAATCTTAGTGAACAAACGCTAGTTAGGGTTTTGATTCAATTGTAATAAACATTATTATCTTAATTGATCGAGGCAAAAAAAAAAAAAAGACAGATAGAAACAAGCTCATCCAAAGATATGATAATTGAGAATTAAAAAATTCTATATTTTCTTTAATCATTCAATTTTTAGATTCCGTTTAAAAGGAAAGCAGGGGATGATATCGATGCTAGGACCCCAAATAAGAGGGGGGAAAAGTAAATGAATAAAGAAGCATCATAATTATCTATTTCCACCTCTTAAAGCTTCTTATGTGTGTATGTGTGTGCGCGCTTGTTTAGGATAAACTTTAATTCCATTTTATTATATGGGAGACACGTAATTAAGTTATTCATAAATGGGGCCTTCAACATGAATAAAATAATTTTTAAAAGTGAAGCTGTGGCCTTGACATGATTTAACATTTTAACTGCCTAACCGACATCCTCTTTAAATCATTTCACTGCTAGTTATTATTCCCTTTTCACTCTCATCAATATGGTAAATAAAATTATCAATAAAATATCTCACAATAAGTTACATTGCTTGTGCAAATTAAAGTTGTGAATAACACCTTTCGTTATCCGAATTACGTACGTACATATATATAGCATAGCTTGGAAGTTGGAAGCCTATATATGGTAAAACCAATCGTACCCATATATAAAAATTCATTTTTTTCTTCTTCTTAAAATAGTGCTAGTACAACATATATAAAAGATTCAAAGTGGACCAAAAGGCAATAAGAGAGCGAAATTAATACAGATTATACGTTGCAATATTTGAACCACAGAAAGAGAGGAGGGACGAAGAGATTGAAGAAGAAAGAGGATGTATATATATGTATATATGAGATGGGAGGAATGGGGAAAGTGTATAATGAGGCAATTATTCAGAAGTAGAGCTGAGATGGGGACCAAGTTAGAAGAATTATTTAATTTTATGATTGAAGGCCATCATTTTGCAGGCTATGACCAGACAAACTATTAAATGCAACTCACCAAATAAAAAGAGAATTTAAAGACGATAGATAGAGAGAAAACTGTAAAAGTTTCTCTCTGCTTTTACGATCAAAACTTTGGAAACTCCATCTTTTGGGTCAACATTCAATGTTCCTGCATTTTTATTAAAGTCAGTTTAATCTTCTTCAGGTACTTATATTATTTATGACCCATATTGATATAACATCAAATCACATTGAAAAAATTATAATAACAATATTTATGCTTGCTTTATTTATTTGATTTTTAATGAATGAATGAATTGAGAATAAAAGTGAAGAGAAATATATATATAGAATGATGAGAGAAGGAAAGGTACGCGGTTTATGTCTAAAGTGGATTTGATTGTTACAGCTCTGATTCTCATCAGTCGTGGCTTTGGCTGATAAAGTCATCTTTTTATAACTTGGAATCACTTGTTTGAAAATTTGTCTCCTACTCTTTTCTCTCTTTTATTACTATAATTCCTTCTGCCTTTTCTTTTTTAATTTTTGCACCTAGCGCTAGCTATTGGTGATCTAGAATATATAAATATATATGTATGTAATTACTGCTCTAAATGTGGTCTCATCCACGAATCTCCCCAATGCGATTTAGAATATATTTGAAACGTAATAACTCCACTTAATAATAATTACTCCTCCGATATAAAAACCTAATTGTTAAGTTGATATTGGTCTTAAATATAAAACTCTTAATTATAATCAAATAAGAGAGGGAGAAAGATGTTAAGGAAGATGGCTATAATATTTAAAAAAAATCATATTTCTTATAATTAACTAATCTATTTAACTTTAGTTAAATAAGTCTTATATTAAGAACCAAAAGAATATTAATTTTAAGATAATTTGAATATAGTCGTAATTAAAGTCAGTTTCATTCTGTTTCGTTTATTAATTCTAGCCAAATATATCTACATGAATTCTCTATTTTAGCATGAAGAGATGATTCACATTATCTTGTAAGTTATGAGCCTCTCACATATCGCCTTTCTCAAACTCTGAAATATAATTCAAATTATTGAAAGATAATTCAACTTAACATATATATAATGGATTTTAAGGAGACCCAATTGTGTAAGGTTTAAAAAGTGATTTTAATTAGCTTATTAATATAAGCTGACAATCCTCCCATTTTTAGCTTGGCTAATTTTCTTCCGATAAGCCTTCATATTTCGCCTAAAGTTGTCCCAACAATTCGCTCATGTAACTCAACTGAAATAGTTTTTTGTTAAGTTAAATCGCTCCTCCCTGTAGAAATTGATTTTAAGGTGATAATCTTAATAACCACATTGATTAGATTAAACAGAAAATAAGAGAATTAATGGACAACCTTTTGAGACACTTGGGATAAAATCTGAATCAGATATATTTTATTCCTCAATTAAAATCAATAAAAATTATATTTAATTGGATCTTACAAGGCATATCAGTTCAATGATATTCCCTTCCAAATTCCTTTCTTGCCTATTTCTTCATTCAACCCCACACGTTAAAGACTTCAAAAGTGGTAAAAGCTTCTTTTCATTTAATTTATTCCGACTTTTTCATCCACACACACACGCACACTCAATAAATATTTAGGATAAATAATGGATGAAGGAGGTGCAACACGCAAATGAATCTCTCTTTTTTTTTTTGGGTAATTTTTTCCTTTTATATTAGATATAAAATTTAAATACATATCGATCTAGTCTGAATTAATTACTAAATTTTTATCTTTTTCATATTTTCGTCTGGGAAGTTTCAAATAATTAACATCTAATCTAAGTGATGGATCTAATAAATTAAATTGGATTAAAATGGAATGTGCATCATATCCCAGACACATGATATGAAAGATATTGACAAGAAAGCATTAACATAAATTAAGGCTTTGCTGCCTATATTAAATCTGACATAATTTTTCCTTTAGGGTTTGCTTCACTTTCCACAAAAATCAACAAAATTATTCTCTATAGTAAAAAGGGAGAAATAATTGAGGCAGACAGATGGATGGTCCTACAAAGTCTCTTAGGGCATTCAATCAATCTGGAAAATTTGTGGCTTTCACAAACAAGTCAAGCTCTGCAAAAGCTTCCACCCACCTTCATCTGCCCAATTTTTCCCTCCTTGGATTTTGTGATTTTACTTTTTATTTATTTATTTTTTTGCCAAAATAGTAGCATTTCATTGATTGGAGTGCACGTAAATTCACCAGTTCATAATGCAAAACCAGCCCATTTGAATTTAGAATGCAGCGGAGGGATTTTGCTCTATACTCCTTTGTTATTAATAAACAGAATGAGTGAGAGAATTTAATGAATTTTCCCTTTTATCTTATCTCCTTTTAGTAGAAGGATCTGTGGGATATGGGACCAATATATTCATGTAATCAATGATCAAGGTATCCTAACTATTTTCTCAATTACAAAATTGCCTTCAAATATTCTTGCCTCTTAGTTTATGTTACCATTCTCTGTATTTCTAAATCATCTGGATTGTATCAAACAACTTCCTTAATCATTTGGGTTCTTTTTTTCCTATTAGAGAGGGAATCACCAACGTTTAAGATTACAAGTGGGATCAATCATGTGACTTTTCACTCATAGGAAAACTTTTATGCTATTAGATTACAAGGCCATTAGTATTATCCCCATTCGAATAGTATGTAAATCATGCTTTATTATTATTATTCTTTTTTTTTTTGTATTGATCAAAGACAGTTTAGTTTATTAGAAGGCAAAGTAAAGAATTTCTACGCAAAAACCCTTCAAAGATGACAAAGAAATTTAAGATCTTGTGAATGTCCAATAATTATGTGCCCTAATCGAGAATTAAGTCCAATGGATCTACCAAAACCCATAGCTATATCCATTTATGTGAAGATTGATCTAATGTCCAACTCAAAATACAAATTAGCATCGGAGGCAAAAGGCTTCAATATTGACCAAAACTTGACAAGCTGTTGGAGACTTGGAAATAGTACCATTACCCCCCCCCCTTTTTTTAATACCTTTATGTTGAAGATCTTCAGTAACATTTTATTTGCAGTTATAATTTGTACATGACTGCATATGATTATAAAATATGCATGCAGCAAATAAATTAACGTCATGGTATAAATTTCCCTTTTTTTAAAAAAGAAATCATCATTTTACTAGCATCAAATGCCGTCATACTTTCTGGGCTTCTGGTCATTGCATTTTTTTTGTTTGGGTGAATACACGGGCCGAAAATCCCACAAATAAAACGAAAAATAGAGAAGCAAAACGACAAATATGAAATCAAATTTCCGATCCAAACTTCACTAAAAGAATGCGTACAAAATATGGGCTAAAAAAATCCATTATTGGATTAACACACATGGAGGCTTAACTGTAATTAACATGAGCGTGGCTTCGCGCATATATATTTAATAATTCACTAATCCAATACAAAAATAAATCTACGCGCATCTATTTGAAATTGACTGAACTCCAACCATTAAAACTCAGTCCCGAAAAGACTCTCGAGTGATATAACTCATTTGATAGTCCAATTTACACAGTTCAAAGTTCTGTCTGCGACACTAGCAGCAAAATTGCTTGACATCAAAATATGAAAACAAATTTCCTATCACTGATAAATCATATGATTTTTCAATTTTCATCACATTAAGTTCATAAGAAAAGAACATCCTCAGCTTCTCAACAAGCACAATAAAGAGCGACTCCGTAAAAAGGAGGAAGAGGAGACAGAAAATAAAGATGTCATGTAATCCTATTTTACAAATCCATCGCCCATTTTGATAAGCAGTCATCGCTTGAAAGATGTCAAGGCTGACAGAATTAAGAAGCATGTGAAAAATATGAAAACTGGGGAAGTTGCACGTGCAACAACACAATTCCACATACATCGGTTAGGATTTAGTGATTTTAGTTAAACCCAACTAAACTACCCAAATTGAGAGGTCAATTCACACGTTAAAATACAATTCAGAAAATGCATGGCAAATATCTAACGTCGAGTCGCAAATTATAAGCTACTTCAACTCTTCAAGGTACGAGTTCAACAAATAATGCCATTGTAACGACTAAATCAAAATAAACTCTAATGACCACAGTATCAACCAACTTTGGGTACAAAAGTCACAGACAGCAAAGTAAAAGTCTCAAGCCTAAAAGCTAGACTGTCCAGAAACAGGTAAAGATGATATTCACAGCTTCATGTCGACACATAATGCAATCCAAAGACATCACCCCAGAGTCAGATCTCTAACCTCCCATTCAGAGGCAACCTCAGGCTTCACTGCAGTTGTGTTGCTCTTCGTTGATTCACTCGATGATTTGAATGGCATCTGCATACAGCCAGGGAAACTTTTAATTTGGGGTACTCTCAAAACACGGAACAGATAAAATGCATCCAAAATAAATAAGTTCGGTGAGGCTTACACATGTAAATGAGCAATTATCATATCCAAGAAAATAGAATTTGAACTATCACTGAAATATTTGGCAAAATGGCCATTCATTGGAATAAATCAATTTAGTAATCCTCATTAAAGATAATTTTTGGGTTAAATTATGTTAATTTAGTTTTTTTTTTTTTAAAACTGCTGTTATCCATCTTCAATGGTTTCGTGCCACAGGATATCCATCCACTTCCACAACCCATACTGAATATAAGCAGAGGAGATATAGATATCTTGTCGATAACAAATACCGGTGGTCCTGAATAATCATCAGCTTTGCAATAAAAAATCACCCAAAAATGTATCAAACGCGTCCAAGGTAATCTCAACCTTCAGCCACCCGAAGATCCAGAGGTTAAAAGGTATCAAAATCATATCTCCCCATCCGAAGATGTATTTACCCAGATACCCCAACATCCAAAAGGTACAGCTGATGATGAACAGCAAACAATGCCTTCAGGAGTCAATAAGCTTGGAAATGGACATAGAAAACCACGTGCAAGTTTCCAAAGCCAAGTAATTCTAATACAACCCTACCTTGCCTTGAAGGTTTGTTATTGTAGTTCTCAACAGATTATCTCCTACTATCACCCTCAGCTTCTTCACAAAATCATCTCGGGCTATCTTCTTTGCCTGATGATTATAATAATATTTTTTTTAAAAAAAGGTCATGTTAGAGGCATTTCAATCAGAATAGCAATAAGCATGCAATTTGAACTACTTGACGTACCCTGAATTGTTCATAATATAAATTGATGAGCTCCATATCCTTGAGAGGAACTTTATTAGAGATAGCAGCAAAAAGCATAGGGAATGGCATCCAAGGGGACTTTGGAGCTCTTGAAGTGCTAGCAGATGCACTCGCAACCTTCCCCTGAGGTACCTCATGTAGCTAATCATTAGAATATTCAATGCAGAATAACAAATTTATCATATGAGAAAGGCACCAGTCAAGTGATAGACAGTGCATCTTAGAGAAATAAAATGAAATATCAAGTCTTTGAAGGGATTACAACACTTTCAAGAAGAATCACAATCCTAGGAAACATTAATAAGAAAAAGTGTGCATCACTCAACCACATAAAGCAGAAATCAACCAGTAAAAGGGGCAACCCCGAATAAAAATTGATCTTCTTCAAAAAGAATCACAACTTAAGAATTAACACGGGAAGTGTTTGTCATGAAACCGTAAAAAGCAGAAATCAACCAACAAAAAGAGTAGCTCAAAATGCAAATTTATTATTATATTCCCCCGAGGGTGCCCATGTAATCCTACCATAAAAGCAGAAATCAACTACAAAGTTTAGCATAGCGCCAGAAGCAAGATTTCAATACGAAGTCCCTTACCATATCTACTGTAGAAGACTCTGTATGTACAAAGCCTTGAGGACCTTGAAGACCGGCAGCAGTAGTAACCCCAGATATATCAGGCTTGCTCTCAATTTCATAACATTTGCCTGCAGAAACAGATCAAAATATTGGTGCTCTAGTAGTAAAAGTCTTGCAACAACTTGACTGCAGATATATCAGCCGATCTCATTGAAATTCCAAAGTTGAAATGTCGAGACATCTCTTCAATATAAGATAACCAACAACAGGACCCAACAACCAAAGGATGAAGTCCCATTTCCGAGTAAGGATAATTTAAAAGAATTTTTCCAATCCATATGAAAGGACCGACAAGTAAGTTGTGCATAACTAGATATCAATGAACTTGACTCTAACTGATAAAGTACAAGTATGTATCTAAACACATCTGAGTATAAAAACTAAAGGAATAACATATCACCTTCAAAATCAGAAGCAACCTTGAAACTAACGACAAACTCTGGATATATGTGAGTATTCATGTTCATAGTCCACACTGTAAAGCATTTGGGGCTTTCAATATCATCCACCCCACTATCATAATCATTACTACGGGGATGAAACTGTCTACTGCCAGGACAAAGAAGTTCCATGTTCCCCAATATTACACGACATAACACCATGTGCTGTGCTCCATTTTCGTCAACATCACAATAACTTGCCCTGTAAGTCAACGTTAAATACTTCTCTAAACATGTATACTCATGCTGACAATAAGGAAAACAATTCAATTACAAATTTACCTATCGGACAGAATATGGGATTGATCATAATAATGTAAACATCACAATAAATTGGGAATTCAATGAATAAAAATTGTTAACACGCAAATAAAATACTTAAAACCCAATATCGGGTCTCCCTATGTATTATGGTAAATATCTTAGCAACCCATTACTTTGAAATGCAATACAATGCCAATCAATTGCAAAGATCACACTGGAAAACCTAATAAGATAAAGGGAGCCAGTTGCTTCCTTTCATCATGTTTTGATCCGAAAAATTTAATTGCCACAAAAGTCCATCATTATAATTCACGGTATTTTGAACTTCCAATTGGTTAAAGATAATGATTAGAAAACCGAACCTGCTGTAAGGGCAGTTAGCAGCTGCAAGATGCACACCATTGCCATACACCGAATGCCCGAACCCATACTTCATAATTGTAGACAATTCAGTTTTTGAACAAGCCAGCCATGCATATTGAACATTTGCATTCCCCCGGCATTTTTCTGTAATTTCAACTTGCTTCTGAAATAGTTCCAATCGAGCTGGCAGCAGAGTGCTTGAGCAGCTGTATATTTCAACTATGTTTGTACTTCCAAGACTACTCATTCCCTTAAGAAACAACTCCTGTACAGTATTTATGTCCAACTTACCATTTACAGATTTGGAATAATTATCTAAACCTAACTCTAGATTTTTCTCAGTAGCTTCACCAACAGTTCCGTTATCAGGATTATTACTGCTATCTTCAATGTCTACATCATATTGATTGCTGGCAGTTTTTGCATCAATATGAATATGCTTAACTAGAGCATTAGATTCCCCACTACATTCCCTCAGGTTAGATTCGCCAACTCCATTTATTTCAATTTCTAAATGCAAGTTTATCTCATTAGATTCATAAGACTCATTAGATTCATAATGATCATAAATTTTCCCACTTTCATACAGTTCATCATCCGAAGTAGCATAAACTTCAGGAAAGAAGCAGCAGCCGGCCTCATCAAGCCAGGCAATAGGCCGCTGCGAACCAGTTTTCAAGTCCATCTCATACATATGCAAAAAATCTAGCACAACCTGACGGTCATCAAACTCAATCTCCACAGCAGCATTCTTTACCTCAAAATCTTTCCTGACCGCATCAATAATATCCTGAGGGTAGTCTTTCCATTCATTATTCTGATAAAACAGCAAACGTTCAAGCCTCCCACTTTTCTTAAAGTTCAAATAGCATCTAAGTAAAGATTGTCTAAAATGAGTCTCATTGCTTGTCAGCTTGTTTTCATACCCATCCAGCCTCCTCTGCTTCAGAAGCTTTTTCATTGGCAACGTTATGGATGGGCAGTGTTGCAAAACCTCACGGGGAGCTTCACTTAGATACGCAGCATATCGAGTAGCCCGCTTCCGCTTCTGATTAAGCACAACTCTATCCGATTCCTTTCCGATGTTTGCTTCCATATCTATCTACTAGATCAATTCTTATACACAAACTGGAACCTAAAAGCTCCGATAGCACTGGAATAGAACTTTAGACCTTGTTCAGTTTAAAAGCAGTAGCAGCAGTGATGGTACAAACCATGACATCAAGAATGACCTCGCATACCTGGAAATATAAAACATATAAGATTATTGAGATAATATATAGGATAATGCTTTCATAGAAGTAGAGTTAATAATGACAAACAAATACTGGGTCCAGAAAGGAAAGAACAATTGAATAAGCCAGCTATGACCAATATGATGAAGAGGAAAAAATTAATGTTAAATTTAAGAAACATCGCAAAAGAGTAAGAAGCAATATCTTGTCAAAAAAGTACACATCACATAACTAGTAGCCTGGAATGGCCTTCCATTTCATAGGCACAGCTTTCTACTAAAACCAAATTCTTCGCTCCAACACTTACTATGCTTCCTGAGCGGCTGTAATAATATCATTTCACAGCTAATCTGTTTCATACGCATAACTAGCATAACTGAGAGAACTTCTTTCAAACTTGTCCATATAGGATTGAACTCATTCTATGATGCAAACTCCTAGTCTTCAACATCATAGTAGGACTAAACAATATAACCACCAAACTTGTAATGGAGACATAAAATAATAGTTGTTCATTAATCATTAAATCAGTAAAGGACTAAGAAAACCAAAAGCATACATGGACTGAAGATAAATAAACGAGTAATTCATACCGAGCACCGCAGTTACTACTCATATCGGACATGTTTCTCATCTCTATGACCTCAATTTAATTAAATAAAGTAGATCTCCTGCCGACGATGAAGTTTTATAAAGAATTCAAACTTTCATCTCACCCAAGACTGCTACAAAAAAAAAAAAAATGAAGTAACAGCAGAGTTATTCAAGTTAGAAACCCCTCCAAAAACCTCAAAAAGGATGAATCAGAAAGTCAAATTAGATCTCAGACAGCCAATCAAACTTAAGCCATATCTTCCAAATCAACGCAGACAAAACTCATAGCATCAAAAGCTTTAAGTCTATTTTAAACAGGAATAATCGTGAAGCGGAAAAATTAGACAATCCAGCAAAATAGTAATTTGCGTACTCAAAAAAGTAGAACCTGACAGTTTAATATCACCGATTGAAGAAGATTTGATAACAAACTGAAATTAGATTGAAATAAATAATCGAAAATATGTACACACGTATAACATAAACAAATTACTCGAGTTAATAGATTAAAATTCACACCAACCAATCATAGTTCCCAATCACAGATCAAATAGATAGTTGCCAGTAGTTTTAGCCAAAAACATAAAAATATCAACTTGTCAACAACCCAAATATCATTCGCACGAAATTTCACAAAATCACACTAAAATCAACAGAAAAACGATGAGAGACAACCGAGTCAGCTCAAAACCCCGTAACAATTAAGATCAACGCCGATCTAGCAGATCCAATTCCCAAATGAAAAGTCAACGATTATTTCGTAAAAAATCCACACTTTGTTCCAAAACCAAACCCTAGAAACAGCGCTCCAACAAAACAAGATCCGGGGAAAATTTTCTTTTTCACCAAAAAAAAGGGGGTCAATCAAGGGCAAGGATTAAGACGAGACTGAAATTACCTCAATAAACATAAAACACAAAGTAAATTATAATTTACCAAAAAAGATGAGATTTTGAATAGAACATGGGGATTTCCAGGAGGAAGGGTTTAGCGGGGGAATCGATGGAAGGAAAAACCCTAACTCGAGAAAACGCAGCATGAGGAAGGCATACGCCGCCGTAAATTAGGGCTGACCAGGAACATGGCTTAAGTCGGCGGTCTAAGATCGATCTCTCGCATACACACCTGGGGCTCTGCAAGTCGCTTTCGCTTGAACGATAAGCAATTAGTCCACTGACGTTACATATGAGGCTTCCCAATCGTTACCCACCCCGACACGTCATCCCCCTCACCGCCTCATGGGTTTAGTATTTTATACGGCACACGACACTTTGCGTCTACTTCGCTTATCATCTCCATCGTCTGTTCTCTAAGATCTCAAATTATAAAACGGTATGAACATTTCTTTCACTGGTGATTGGGTTCATTATTCTTTAATTTTAATCCCTTAAATTTTAAATTATATAGAGTATTTTGGTTTCTTAATGAGTAAAATAATCTAAGTATTTATTGAATTATAAGAACAAAATTTTTTTTGAGAGACTGAAACTAAAATAAAAACAAATTTGAAGAGTAAAAATGGTATTAATCCTAAAATAATTTTCTATTTTTTTCAGTCTCTGTGTTAAAAACTGGTCGATGTTATATTTTCAAAATATTTTTAATTAAAATAAGTGGACGTATACAAAAATGTCCCCCATGACCAGGCGACATCTTGTCAGAGGGGATAAGCACAATTGAAAAGTATTTATATTAAAGTTAATATATTTACCAAAACTATAACTTTCCAAAAAATTTAAAAATTACACAAATAAGTATTGTGCGGACTTCATAAAAAGCAGCTTCTAAAAAAATATAGTAATCTTTAAAAGTCGATTTCTTAAAAGGCATGATTAACCGAACCAAATGACTCCTTGGATTAGCAAATTTAACAACTTATATTTTTCACAAATCATTTATAACGCTGTTCTCCGACTCCATAGACCATTAATACCTTATTTTAAATTAAGTAATGCTTTGTTTGGTATAAAGAATAAAGGGATATGGTGTATCCAGCATCCGAAATATTTTTTCGGATATATCCAATATCTTAAAATATTTTATAGTGTATTCAATACGTCAAAATATTTTTTAAATACGTCCAACATCTTAAAGTATTTTTGGTATATATAGTACTCTAAAATTTTTTTTTGGGTGCTGAAATATTTTTAATACATCCAGCACTAAGGCAAAAAAAAATATATTTAAGGATGCTGGACATATCTAGAAAAAAAAATTTAGAGTGCCGAATGCATCATAAGATATTTGGGTGTTAGATGTATCCGAAAAATATTTTGATATGCTAGATACACCTCAACCTAAAAATAAAACAAAAACGTGGACAAAATAATTGTGAGATTTCATTATCCCTGATTCCAGTAAAAAAAGGCTAAAAAAATTCATTAATTCATTTTGTATCTTGCTCTGTTATGCACGATTTCCTCATAAAGCACGTTGTATTGATCTTTGATGAGAATAAAAGTTTGAAACTTAATAAAAGTTTCCTTAAAGATTATGGAATACTAAAATAGAATAAAATCCGATGCATGGCATCAATTTAATTACGGAGACAAATTGCAAACTAACCAAATGTATTTCACTATTTTGTAAACTGCAAACACGTAGGAATAAATGCCCTGCCATTAGAATGCAAAAAGAAAAAAAAGAAAAGAATATATTCACTTTCCATGGAAATCTAACAACGCAAATGAGTTTAGATTTTTTGTACTGAAAAATAAATGTATATTTGGAAGGAAACGAAAGGAAGATTCCTGGAAAGGCAATTACCAATGCTTCGTGGTAATTATTAATTAAATATAAATAAAATGACTAAATCCCAGGTGAAGACTTGAAAACAAGGACGCACTGAAGGAGAATCGTGGAAAAATCCCCTCAATATCAATAAATGATGTTGGAATCCAAGAGAATTCAGCACCACACAAAAAGCAAATTTCAAAAATTTCGAGTTGACTTGACGTATTTTTCGTCTGACTTTATTAAAAACTGAAGTCTTGCGCCAAAAATATCAAGCGATGTAAATTCACGTTCATAGACTCAAGAGAGCTTGCCTCATCCAGGACATCAGGGAATTAATGCTAAACAAAATTATATTTATATGTATATATCTATATTATATTGTTTGCAGTTTTTTTTTTAAAAAAAATTTTTTGGACTGAGGTGTGTTAAAAGGCAAATGGCTTGGTAGGTAGGGAAGTGAATATTTGTACATTGGAGAGCAAAACTACAACATTTTGTTGAGAGTCCTATACGAATAAAGGTTGGATCCCTTTTTGACCAAAAAAAAAAAAAGGTTGGATCCCTTACGATTGCGCGAATGAGATTCTCGAGTGTGAAGTTTCATTTACTTCTCCTATAAGTTCCCTTCCATTCCCCACTTTATTGACATCATTGCCAGCATGAGAAAGCAGGCTATGCTTTTGGATTATAATTGGAGGCCACCAACTGGAGCCACAACAACTCAGTTTTTTTTTTTTACCTGAAGTGCTCTGAATTGTGATATAAAAATAAAAAAAGTCATACCCTGTGGTTGATGAAAGGTGAATAGAGTCACAGACTGACTTATAAAAATGATATAAATTTCACGCACAAATCACAATCGCATTGTCTCATGTGGCTCTTGATTCAGTGAGCGCCTTACATTCATTTGGATTGTTGGGTTAAGGTTACATGATTTACATATGATTTTATTTCATCACCATATTTTTAATGTTCTTTTTCATGTTAACACAACAGATGCATAATATAAAATAATTTCAAAAATAGCTGTCACCTTTTTTCTTTTTCTTTTTCTTTTTTTGGGGTGGGGGGAATGAATTCATCATATGTTGGAGCCCGAACGGAACGCGCCCAGATCATTTTGTGAACAACTAGAAATTACTTCAGCGATACTGTCCTAACGTATTAGAATCGAGAGAAGCCTTTTTCAACAAGCTTCTGATCTCTCAAGGTTGTATTATTAGTATTTTAATAAATTGTATTGTTTTTCACTGCTCGTATGCTCGTCTGGGTTAATACAGCACGCAAGCACTAGAAATGGGATAATCATATCCCAAACCGGCAAACACAGACCCAAAAAAAAGAAAGAAAGAAAGAAAGAAAACGATGCCAGCTTTTTCCAAAGAGTCTTAGAAAGTTGTACACAAACATGGATCTTCACATAAATTCTTAGACATTATATAATATGTATATAACAGATAGAAGTCAATCTGTAGTGTTGTACACGTGAAACTCTCATTAGATTATGATACTGTTACTATATCATAGCAAAGTTTGAACGAGAGAATTAAAAAATTGCCTCAATTTTCTTACCCCCTGTACGATGACTGCAGTACTCGGCCATATTGACCTCATTTCCTATTCCTGCATTAGGATCATACCCTCACTTTTTCTGCAGCCTCCTTGATCTGATCAATTGTGAAAATGCCAAATTCATCATCGTCCATGACAGCATTGACAACTGCTAGTGCAACATCATCAACACTAACGGGCGGGGCTAACAGCAGATCAGATGCAGGAAGAGAGTTTAAAGGTTTGGTGAAGTTCTCTATGGCTTTCAGAATTCTCTCTGCTGGCTCTCCCACCAAATCTAAAGGAATCTCAAAACCATCCACTCTTCTCTTCCCGTATATGAAAGCCGGTCTTAATACCACACCTGAAGAATGAAAATGCTGGGGTTCAAGGGAACTGTCAAGAATGCAGGTCAATGAAAAGCAATCCAGTTCATAGTTCATAAGATACGTGCTCAATATTTGATAGTTGATACAAATAGCAATAGGTTACATCTAGTGGTAGGTGCTTAATTACCCATGTTCGCTCAGCTTTATACCCATCAAAAACAAAAAACATGAAAGCCACACCTGGTTTCATAAGCATTTTCTTTTCTGGAAAATGTAAAATGCGCTGATATGCATTTTCAACATACAAACCACAATGATTTCGCTTCTGTTCTACTTCAGAAGCTATCAGATCTTCTAAGGAGGAAAATTCCTCACAGGGGTATCTGGGGTCCTTGTTTCCGAAATTCCCAACACCAAATTTTGTAATGCTGTGACATGGTAGGCATATTTCATGAAGTACGAGATTATAAAAGGCTAGAAGAATAACCTGAATTGGGGTACTTGGAGAGAACCTCAGACTCTGCTTTCCTCTTTCCAGTGAAGTACCCAGATGAGAGTAAAAATGAAGGTAAGTTGTAATCATGAACTGAGATTAAGATGAATTTGGGAATCCCTGCAAAGCAATAAATATATTTTAAGGGGAAAAAAAGGAGAGAATTAAGCATCCAATGCCTTCTGGCCCCACAGTCTAAGATGCATATTAAAACCTGCATAACAGCAGGTCTTTGTTCACCTCCAGGAAGAAGTGCTTTAACCAAAGCTGAAAACTTTTGTCAAGATTTTACGAGCAGAGCTTATTACCTGGCAAAAAACTATCAAAAAAGAGCATCTAGCCCCTAATTTTGGCTTTTATAAATAAAATTAGAAGATTTATGAAGACAAATTTTTTTATAAAAACGAAATCTGTCAACTGCATACAAAAGAATGCACCAGACCAGGCTTGGTTGACAATGGACTTGACACTTATAAAATAGGCAACCATTCCTTTGTGCTAAAATTCAGAGGAAGCAGCACAAGATGGTAGAAAGGGAGGGGGAAGGAGAAAAGGGGGCAAGGAGGCAAGGGTTGAGGGAGAGTCTGAACGTGGATTTAATAATCAATCAAAAGTTAAGCCCTAATACAATTACTAATGGGCAACAGTAAAAATGGAATACAGATAAAACAAAAGGACAATCAGAGCATGAATTTAAAATAAAAGCAATTGAAGTGCCGTTTTCTAGACTTTTATTTCCTAGGGTTCTCATTATTTTTCAAGCGCCTAAAATAATTCTTCCGTGGATTCCAATCACTTCCAATATTGAGCCTTAATTGATGCTTTATCCCTAATTTGCATATAATTTCCCAGTACCACAGTCGACATGTCACTTCTAATATTCTTTTCCCATACTTAACCACTTCTCATCCAGAAACATGGCCACATGCTAGTGCTTTTGTCTAAAATTAATTTGACAATGGCAGAGGCAGAGCCCACAGCTCTTTTTGACATTGCTTATAAACCAAAATGAGTAGCCCCATATCGGTTGTTCAAAAAGGCATGTTATACACATTGCTTTAAACGTTACAAGTCTATATGGAGCACAACAAATATGAACAAACAGCTAAGTACATATTATGAGAAAATTTAACAGCAAAATAAAATAGTGATTCCTCACCGTATTCCTTTGCAGCATTCACAGCAACAACATTAGCCTCACCATTGATCCTTTTCATCTGTTCCTCAGTACCAAAACCCCCAAGGGTTGAAACCACAGCAGTGGCTCCAACAAGTACTTCATCCCAGTTGACGTAAAAAACATCTCCTACAAGTATGAAGCATATCATTCAGAATTCCCACAGAAAACCAAAATGCACACAAACAGAGGTTGTGATGATAATTAAACAGTATCACAGTACTTGATATATGATACCGGATATCTCATAAATTGCAGTTCATACTATTCCTTTGCAGTTTTAATACTCGCAAAGTAGCCCAACTATCTGGTCAAAGGACCCAGTAAGAACTTGTTAAAAATTAGAGTCTTTCTCACTCTATCAGATCACACCAGGAGTGCCTGTCTTCAGGCTGATATACTTCACCACTTGCTAAGTTACTATAAATAGGCTAAGATTAACAATTACGAAATTATTTAGTCACATGTAAATGTACAAAACTCAGCAGAATATCTTAACTGAACCAAGGATGTTTCACTTTGGAGTCATTAGATGAATTCTATTGACAACTAGAAGACAACCACATTGGTGAAGGAAAATGCAAGAGACAAATATTTAAACACGAATCCATTAGGGAATAAAGTGGAGAGGAAAATTTGTCTGAGGAATTATTTGGTACTCTCTCCGGTCCTATATATAAGCTTCACTTTTAGAGATGTGCCTGATCCAAAATATAAGCTTCATTTTTTAGTTTGTCTAAGCATTTATTACTTTTTTTCCTATTTTGCCCTTCGTTGACTGTAGTTAATACTCTCTCTTTCTCATTAATATTACCCCCATATATTCTCTTTCATCATTTTTTAAACATTATTCGGTTATTTGAAGTTTATATATAGGACCGGAGGAAGTAATTATGAACAAATATTTTTTTATATTAAAATTTACATCATTTGTTCACTCCCCATCCCCACCCTAATCTTGATTTTCTTAGAATGTTTTCACAAAAAATATTGTTATTCATTGGAGGAAAAAAAATCATAATCAACAGCTTTTCGTCAGAAAACTACAGTTAACATGCCTGAAATCCAAGTAACCTGGTCTACCCAGTTGCTTGGATACGTAGGACGGCCTGACCTGTAACATTAAAAACCAGTTACAAATTTTATTTTACCAAAGCAAAGAGGAGAGTGTATGTGTTTGTGCGCATGTGTGTGTCCATACAGACATGCATGCATATAATTATATGTATGTATATGTAAAATGAACTGCATATGTAATGTTGGAAGTTTAAACTCTGCATATGCAATGTGAGCTCAACAGGTAGAAACGGGGCCAATTTGGTGCTTCAGTTGATGGCCTGTAGGAAAGAAGTCCAGGCATATCACGATGCTTTTAACTAATTTCCTTTGTGTTAACAGGGTTAATCCATAACAAGAACATAAAAAAAGAGATTCAAGGATCAAGCAGTGATGAATATGCTCATGGTACTAATCATCCATTTCTCACTGTAAGTATCACTCCCCTTAAAATGTATATAGGCATTTTACATTCTGAGGATATATTGATATTCACTCTTTCTAACCCTTCATAATGTCTCGTATTTAACTCCAGGTAAATTTTATATTCCCATCTGCTACATTTACTACACCTTGATTCTATCTATGTACTATGCATTCATAAACACAAAACATGGACACAAGAAAAGCAAGAGCCTCGAGAGCACGGGTGAAGGAAAGGGAGAGAAGGGAGAGACAGAAACAGATAAACACATGTAGCCAATCGGTTAAACAATTCACATACCTGCTTAGGCTGATGACCTCTATGCCCTTGGATACCGCTGCCTTGCATATGGCAGAACCAACAAATCCACTGCCTCCTAAGACGACAACCTACTAAGAAAAGCACTTAAGCAAGAATTATTTTGCCAAAGAAGTTCCAGAAATCAACTTTTTTTCTGTACTTCGAAATTATTTCAGGACAGTTAGATGGGTCCACATACCCGTTCACTTTTAATGTCAGCCGCAACATCTATAGGGGCAGAACTATAGTCATCCCTGATACCTGCCTCAGCATAACTGCTACTAACCGCAAACCTGCAGAAACAAATACATTGACTATTATATACGGATGCAAAATACAGAAATCTGGTCTGAGATCGCACTGCAGGCAAGATCTGAAAAGCAAGAAGAAAAACATATTGTTCAATCACTTTGTTAGATAGTTGGCATTGTAGATTAGTATCCTGATGCTGAGGCCACCTGATTCTAATGCAAAGTAATGCAATAAGCAACATGGGGTTCAAGAACAAAGAAATTCATATAGGAATAATGGGCTCTCTGCAGGATAATCCGGAATATATAGGTTACACGCACTCTAGAATGCGCAATACAAATGTGACGACTTTTAACACCAGGGCTTCTCTTCATTACGACCAGTCGGCCGTTTCTAGGCCAAGCTAAATAATTACAGGCTTGAAGCTTGTCAAATGAGTCGGTTCCGGAGAAAATAACTTCCTTAATGTCTAAAATAACATTACATACTCATCCTCCGCAGGCACAACCATGCAATTTCCCTCATTGTAGGGCCAAATTAATCTCCCAGCAATGGGAACAAGGGCCAGAAATGATGCCTCAAACTAGGACTACTGCTATAAACATTTATTCATTGATCAATAATATTATCACCAGGCCGAATTCGGAATCAGCTCTATCAATTGAAGAGTCTTTATATTAACATAATTATTAACCACAGCCAAATGGGAAAAAAAATCCGCTAATTCAGTGGCTCCACGTTCTAAAACACAATAAATAACGGGAAAAGAAACAACATCTATCAACGATTGCAAGCTTACTACTGACTTCATCAACCAAACACGCGAGAACGAAAGGAAATCAACATGCAAGGGAAAAGAAAAGGCAACAAAGCCTGAGAATACAGAACAGCGAGGTGCGTTAACATTGAATATGGTGAGAAGGATCGCTAACCGCCTCTTGAAATGCAAGGCCGGTCGAGCTGGAAAGAAAGCTCTTGTAGAAGTAGAAGAAGCAGAAATGGCCGGTAAAAACGAAAACGACGCCATTCAAGAGCTGAGGCTGATGTTCGATCCTGCTCTGAATTCACAAGTCCCCGAACATACCGATTCAGTGAAGCTCCTGGTTCCTAAAATAACATAATATTATTAATAATTTGTTCCCTCAGAATTCGTTTGGCTCAATTTTTTCCGCTCTAAATTGAATTCTATAAGAATTTTATAAATATAATTACATTTTCAAAGTTTTATTAACAAAAAGATTGCAAATATATATCAAATGATAAAAAAAGGGAAAATCACAAATAAAGACCCTCGAATTAGCAAAATCACTCTAGGTCACCTGAATATGCCAAATTACCATGAGGGACCCGGTCTCAAATTGTAATTATGAAATCATGGTCAAATTACCAAAATACCCCTCTTTAATTTTTTTTTTTTTAAAAGAAAGCCACTGCCTCACCGGAATCCAGCCACCGGTGCCGGAGCTCCGGTGGCCGCTTCCGGCCACTGTCGGCGGCCGGACGCCGGGGTCCGGCCGCCGGAGCTCCGGCTCCGGGGCCGCTTCCGGCGGCCTTCCTTTGTTTTTTTTTTTTGCAACTTTTTTTTTAAATAGTGGGGGAAGTGAGGTTGGGGGGATTTGATCCCCCAACCTAATACTTCCCAAAATAAGAAATGACCATTGAGCCAACAAATTTTTGTTAACATTATGATGAAAAAAAAAATTTAAGTTAACTCATTTACTCTTGTTCCAGGTGATAACAACAATACATTTGGAAATAACAAGTTCTGATTGTAAAATAACACGTCTGGAATAAAAATTTAACAATATGTTTTTTTTATAACAATAAATTTTGTTGCAGGTAATAACAACAATACATTTAAAAATAACAAGTTCTGATTATAAAATAACAAGTTTGGGATTAAAATTTAACAACACGTTTTTTTTATAACAATACACTTTGTTTCAAGTGATAACAACAATACATTTAAAAATAACAAGTTCTAATTATAAGATAATAAGTTTAGGATTAAAATTTAACAACACGTTTTTTTATAACAATTAATTATTTTATACTTTTAAAAAATAAATTATTTATAACTTATAAAAAATATTTTTAATATATTTATTTCTCTAAAAAATACTTTTTAATCTGTATATCTATACAACTCATTATAAATCAAACAACTTCTTATAAATTATAAAGTATTTATAATAAGGCATTTTTAATCTATTAATCATAGTATAAATTTTATATTATTTCATTTTTAAATATTAAAAATAGTTTTTATATTTAAAGAATAAAATAGTATTTTTAATTATAAATTAGAGATAAATTTCATTTATAAATTTAAGCAGTCAAAAAGTATTTTTAATCCACAATAAATTGTACTATTTATAATTTATAAGAATTAGTTTGATTTATAATAAGTTGTATAGATATATAGATTAAAATTTTAAAAAAAAATTAAAAAAGTGTGTTGCCATTTTCCCTAAATTTTATTTATAAATTTGAACAATAAAAAAGTATTTTTAATCTATAAAAAATTATACTTCAAGTTCTGATTATAAATTGGAGATAAAAATTATTTTTTTAGCAAATTAAATAGATTACAAGTACTTTTTATAAGTTATAAATAATTTATTTTCCAAAAGTATAAAATAATTAATTGTTATAAAAAAAAAGGTGCTATTGAATTTTAATTCCAGACTTGTTATTTTATAATCAGAACTTGTTATTTCTAAATGTATTGTTGTTTTCACCTGAAACAAAGTGTGTTGTTATAAAAAAATGTTGTTAAATTTTAATCCCAGACTTATTATCTTATAATTAGAACTTGTTATTTTTAAATGTATTGTTGTTATCACTTGAAACAAAGTGTATTGTTATAAAAAAAACGTGTTGTTAAATTTTAATCCCAAACTTGTTATTTTATAATCAGAACTTGTTATTTTTAAATGTATTGTTGTTATTACCTGCAACAAAATTTATTGTTATAAAAAAAACATATTGTTAAATTTTTATTCCAGACGTGTTATTTTACAATCAGAACTTGTTATTTCCAAATGTATTGTTGTTATCACCTGGAACAAGAGTAAATGAGTTAACTTATATTTTTTTTTCATCATAATGTTAACAAAAATTTGTTGGCTCAATGGTCATTCCTTATTTTGGGAAGCATTAGGTTGGGGGATCAAATCCCCCCAACCTCACTTTCCCCACTATTTAAAAAAAAAAAAAAAAAAACAAAGGAAGGCCGCCGGAAGCGGTCGCCGGCGCCGGAGCTCCGGTGACCGGACCCCGGCGTCCGGCCGCCGGTGGCCGGATTCCGGTGAGGCAGTGGCTTTCTTTTTAAAAAAAAAAAATTAAAGAGGGGTATTTTGGTAATTTGACCATGATTTCATAATTACAATTTGAGACCGGGTCCTTCATGGTAATTTGGCATATTCAGGTGACCATAGAGTGATTTTGCTAATTCGAGGGTCTTTATTTGTGATTTCCCCTAAAAAAAACCCACACCGTTCTTTCATCTTTTTAAGCTTTAATTGAATCGGCTTTTTAATTTAAAGTAATAGCAAATAGTTTTTCTTTCCAACCGTATGGTTATAGTAAATGTTTCTTTTTGGCCAGAAAATAAGTTATAGTAAATGTTTCTTTTTAGCCAGAAAATAAGGGCAAATATTTTTTGGCCAAATAAAAGCAAATAATTAGCATAGAAGAGGCCACATCCTATATAACGACCATTAAATGCAATTTATTCCTCGAAGTAATGAAGTTGGCTGGGCTCAGTTGATGAAGGGGAATAGCTTGTCTTTTGTAGTAGCGGTAGGTTGCTAGCTGAGCTCTGCCTTGGCTCTGATGGTAGTGTAACTCCTGTTTTAATGTAATGATATTTCAGTTCTTATTCCCAAAAAAAAACAAAAAGAAAAAAGGTTAGCTGAGCTCTACCCCTTATCAGTTTAGGTGGTTCTCTTATTTGGTGTCGGTCCAAAACTATTTCCTTAAATGCATTGGCACCTATCACTGAAATGAAAATTTGTTCCTGCTTTTCTACTTCTATGCATTATGTCTCAATATACTCTTTCAGTCTTAAATATAAGATCTTTTTTTGTTGTATAAATTACACTATAAAAAGAGTTATTTCCATTACAAAAGGGGTCTTATACTTGAAATTGGAGGAATATATCAAGAAACATGTTCTTTCTAATGATATCAAAATATACATTAAATTGATATTTTTCTGCATTTATCTCTATTAAAGAAAGAGTATTGATAAAAAAAAATATGCTATCCGTTTTCTCTCCCATATTTTTCAATTTTTTTAATTGTATTGAGTAGGAGTAAAATTGAAAAAAAAAATTATTAACTAATTACAAGTGACTTATACTGATGAACAAACTTTTCTTCCATAAGTGACTCGGAAATGAGTGGCATATATACACCACAAATAAAAAATAAATAAAAATTTATATTATTTGAGCATGCCTGACTTGAGGGTTGGCCCAAAAAACCAAAAAGGGCAAAACAAAACGAAAGACCCCCAACTCGAGACTCTCTACTGCAGACCCTTCACGTGTCTGGGCTAAATGTGGGCCAAGTTGGGACTGGATTTCCAACGTTGCTGGTGCCTTGAGTGTGAAAAGACGACGTTACCCCTAAGGTCCAGACGACGACTTTGCGAATCGTGTGACCTGGTTCGACCCAAAAGAGGTGAGGGCTCTGCAATCTTCATCATCGAGTGCCAATCGAGACCGGAGAAAGCATCCGTCTAGGAGCAGAGAAGAGTAGCGCCAGTTCGAGGATGGCGAGGTCAACTAGCAAGGATGCTCAAGACCTTCTTCGCGCTCTTTGGTCTGCTTATTCCGCCACTCCCACTAATCTCAAGGTTCTGTCCTCTCTCTCTCTCTTTCCCTGCCTTTGATTCCGCTCTCAAAATTCTAGATTTCTTATCCATTTCATTCGTTTCTACAGATCATTGATTTGTATGTCATGTTCGCAGTGTTCACGGCTTTGATCCAGGTACTTTCCGAGTCGCAGTGCATTTCAGTCTGTGCACCTCGCATTATTTCTAGATCTGTTCTCTTTTAATGTCTTTTATGTGTTTTAAATACGTGAAACGGCGAAATTGTGTTTGTTCTGACGTGAATTGTGTTGACCATTATTGCGCAGATGGCAGTGCGCTTAGATATTGATATTTTTGAACCGATCATTTTTCTTCTGATTCTGTTTTATGTCGTTCGAGATTTCAAGAGGTTAAATATAATAATAATGTTCGTTTTCAGTGAAAATTAAACCGAGCTCCTATGTCTGGCACATTTTAGGGCCGGTATGTTGCTAATGATACATGCTTTGTTGTCATTGTATTGCCAGTCAGATCGATAAAGCTTTTGCTTTTCTAATGATGTCTAGGTTCACATTTTTTTTTATTGAAATAAATTATGGTGAAATAAAAAGAACTTCGAGAATCAATTTACATTGCCTAAGTCTGCCGATGCCTTACCGCTAAATCTTCGCTGGGATTGGAGAAAGCTGATAGGGATATCTGTTTAATAGTATGGTTTGCTTTAACTCACTTTTTGGATTAGTATTGTACGTGAACTTGGATGTCAGGAATTTATACCACACACCAGTCAAGTTGAATTTTTTTATGTCAGAGCTGTGGTTTCCCGTATGATGCCCACCCCCTGAGTAGCTTTTGTTTTTAAATGAAATGAAAATTCAAAATTTAGTGCCTTTCACTTTGCTTTGGTGTTTGCTGTCGAAGTGTTGTAGGAAGGTGTGATTTCAGTTTCTTTGCAAAGTGCAAACAGTTCATAATTCATAGTTTGATTAATTTATGCATGTATTGAAATCTATGGGCGATATTCTCATCCCTCATTCTTTGTATACGAGACATGAGTTGTTGAAGTTGGCCCATGAGAATACAAATTTGGATTAAATTGTTATTATACACGTGGAAAGATAGCTAAAAAAACTTGATAGTCTTGTTGAATTACTGTTAAAGTAGAAACTGTATGCTTCCTGGGCACCGGGACACGTAACTGTGGAGATTGACATTAATTTCCTCGTGAGCTTCAGACGCTACTTTATATTTGTTGGCTTTACTCCTCATAAATAGCTTGTATAAATAAATAAGCAAGATTGATTAATTGTCATTGATAACTCGGGAACTGAGTTTGCTCCAGAGTTGACACTGCTGAAGCCTATTTTCTTACTTTGCTGTAAAAACAGGTAGTTTACATGGCTTTGGTGGGATCATTCCCATTTAACTCCTTCCTTTCAGGAGTCCTTTCTTGCATTGGGACCGCAGTTCTTGCTGGTAAGTGCCAATTGTCTAGTATTGATGTTCACACTAGCAAATTATGCCTATACGGTATACACTATACACTTATCTCTGAACACGGTGAGAATAAGTCATTTGTAGAGGTGTTGATTTGTTTGTTATTGCCTATTCTTCTAATTGTCGTTGTGTTTTCATTTGGGTTCAGTCTGTCTCCGGATCCAAGTAAACAAGGAGAACAAGGAATTCAAGGTAAAATTTCTGCTCTTTGCCATTCTCTTCTTTAACTTTATGGATCCTTCTCTGAGGTCATAAATTAGTGATATATTGTCACCGTGTTCCATATGTTGGCTTGTTCATATGGTGGATTGCAGGATCTCGCACCAGAGCGTGCATTCGCAGATTTTGTTCTCTGCAATTTGGTGCTCCATTTGGTGATCATGAACTTCCTCGGTTAAGTTGAGGCCGTAGCTTTTGTCATGTGCGATGAATCAATCACATGGATTATAAAAACCATAAGTAGCACACCTGCGTCTTGCCTATGTATTAGCCACAACACCCCCGCCCCAAAAAAAAAACGTTAACTTATCACTAGCTTTGAGTTGAGCATTCTTGCGGAGTTTTTTCAGCTATGCTATAAATTTTACATTGCGACCATTGAAATGAATTTTTGGAACAGCTTATTCGCTTTATTGTTGTAGTATAGTCTCACGTGTTTTTTTTTGGGGTCAAATAGTATAGTCTCACGTGTTAATCGTGTATGAGAGTTTACCCTTTCTGACTTTTGTCTTTTATAGTTTCGAGCCATGGATTTTAATTCCTCAAACTTTAATTTTTATATTGTAATAAGAATTTGGATTATTTTGTCGTTTGAGAGAGCCTAAAGCTTGTGAATCAAAATTACAGGGATTAAAACTAAAATAAAAACAAAATGTAAAAACTAAATATTCCTCTTTTTTTCCCCAAAAAAGAAGATGAAGCCCGAGGGGAGAAAGATGCGACTTTAGTACGCCTTGGCCCGTTGTCAATCGGAGGGGCGAGGTGAGGTTATGATGTCCTTATCCTGATCCAAATACTAAACGTGCCACCTTCTGAGTTGGGAGTAGATCACCAACCATCACCGCCTTGCATTGCTCCTTTTATTCTCCCACCCAATTCATCCTCCTTCGGAATTAATGAAATCTAACCAATATCGCACGCACCTTCAGAAAAATATCTGTAGATGGAAGAGGGGCGGTCTTTTTAAGCTTATATTTTACGTAAATTTGAAAAATAGTTAAAATTCTCTTTCTTCTGTAGAATTTTAAAATCATGAAAAGCAATTGGTTTGATTATATGGATGATAATAGGAGATCAGTTGGGGGGATGATATTGCTTCTTTTAGATTCCACACAAAGGTCGTCCTGATTATGGTTTTTTTTTTTTTCCGGTGAAGGAAGAGGCCTAAGGCCCAAAGAGACAAACAAACTCAATCCTCATCAATCCTGATTATGTTGGAACCAATTGATGAAATTTACAACAATTGCTACTATTCGCAAGTGTGTGAATAACTGAATATGCACGTAATTTTATTAGCTCAGGGTTGGTTTGATTTAATAGCTTTGCTTTGGGAATATTAATGGAAAAGTAATTTTTTTATACACTAATATGTATAGGGTGCTTATTATATTTTTCATTATTGCTGCATTTGCTAGTTATGGTTAGATATTTTCATTATTTTTATTCAAGTATGTAAAGAAAATTTCATTTTCAGTGTTTGCATTATATTTTCCTTGTATTTTTTTTTTGGGTTTTTGGAATAAAAGAGAATATAAGAAAAATAAACAGCAAGTATGAACATTGAGACTGCCTACGAAATTATAAGTATCAAATACTGCCAATTAACTCCCTCCTTTTCTTACCAAAAAAAAAAAACTCCCTCCTTTTAAAACGCAATTATTGTTGGGATTAAGTTATCTGCGTAAATTAAACGAAAACGTTCAAGTTCAACATTACAAGGCAATTTAAAAATTCAAGTTAATTTTGCAAGGCATGATAGAAAATGTTCCCATTTTGACTTTATATATATATATAGCTTGACAAGGTCAATATACTTAACGAACTAGATATTCTAATGAGAATAATTCTCTCGATTGAAAGAATCAATAGTTTAAATGAATATCCTGTATTATATAGCTTTCGTTTCAATAGGCCTTGTTTTTTTTTTTCTTTTTAATTGCTTGATATGTATGGCAAGCTCAACTTTTCATTCAAACGGGGAGTCTCATGATTCAGGTTGTTAGTTACAGCTTCCTAAATAAAAGTGCTAGAATCTGTTTTAAGAAAATGAAATAGAACAAAAGAAACGGATGAAAAGAACTGAAAGATTCATGAGTTAGCATGAACATAAGGCGATTAATATTGTAAAACTAAGATTAAAAAAAGGAAGAAAAAAAACTAAATTAACGATACCGTGGGTCTTGGGTACCAGAAATGAACATGCTATGAGTCTGTGCTAAGTGTTGTGAATCTTGTAGAGTTGTAGAGAATGCATGCTATTTTTTAGAGAAAATGTTGGTATTCTTGCCTTGTTGGTGTCTCTTAGGTTCTCCATTTTCACAGGCAAGGCAGTTAACTTCTTCAGTTTAGTACGCAAGAAATGAAAACCCCTTTGTTTCGATTTTTAAAAGGGTAAAAATGAATTTAGTAATTGATTTTATTTTCTAGATACATCCAATATTCTAATCTTATTTGTAATACATTCAGTATTCTAGTCTTACTTTTATAATACATATAGCACACTAATATTATTTTTTTTACTTATATCCAGCACCTTAATTTTTAGAGCGTTCGAGACATAAAAAAAAAAATAGAATGCTAAATATATCATAAATAAAATTAGGATGCTTTTAATTTTTTTTTTTAAAATCAAAGTCATTAAAAAATCTTCTGGTACCAAAGATACAACAAGGGGCTACTGGCGGCAATATTCTCAAAACTACATTTTCTCCTAAAACTCCCACATGCATCTTCATAGAATTTTGTTTACGTGTTTCATCATGTCGTCGTGATCTCATAGGGACCTGCAACTCAGGTGATAGCAAATTTATCCAAACCGCGCCAACCGCTGAGACTGCTCCACGTGTCCTGCCACCCCCAATCCTCAAACGGAACAGTTCCACAGAGCTCCCTGCTTTCTGTTCCGCTATTCGCGCCCTCTCTCCCCCCTTGTGACATGCCCTCCTCCTCCTCCCTCTTCCTCTGGTCTTCGCTTCTCTAGTTCCAGCCCTATGACTGGTCGTCTCCCTGTGATGCAAGCTGCCTCTCTTTTCTGCCCCCCAAATATGACCATGTCTTTCCTTTCGCTTTCTCCACCGCCTTCTCCCTCTTTTTATTCTTCGCTTCTTCTTCTTCTTCTGAATATTTATTTCTCCCTCTGCCTCTGCGATTCTCTTCTTCCAGGAGTTGTTCTTCTTGTTCTTGCTCGCTTTCGAAGCTCAGCGCTGAGGAACGCCTCCTCATGGACAGCCACTCCCCTAACAACCTCGCTTCTTCTGTTTCATCCTCCAGAACTTTCCTCAATGCTCGCACTGAACAAGGTTTTATCTCTGCTATTTTCTTGACATATATGCTAGGATTTTCGGAAGCCTCATGTTTTAATCTGTTGTTACTGAACATTTCTTCTTGTTATATTGCTTCTGTCTGGCATCATTTTCCGGTGAATTCCGGTTTGAGTGGGCCTCAAAAGTAGGATTCAAAGTTCGACTGTATTAGCAGCTGATGGGGAAGTGATTTTTGGATAGAGAATTGACGATGTTTCTGCTTACATGATTTTATTAGTTTATGGGTTGCATGTAGCTAAACTTGGTAGAAGAAGAAAAATTACCGTGGAAAGTTTTAATTTTGTTGCAGGAACGTAATATGTTGTTCTTTCGTTGATATCTGCAGTCTTTTTTGGGACAGAACAAGCAGGATTGTGAAGTTCGAATGTTTAACTGATAAGAAAATGCTTTTCTGATTTTTTATTGACTTGGGATGGAGATTTTACTATGTTTCTGCTTATCTGAGTTTATTCTTGTGTCACTTGTTGCTAAGCTTCAGAGGGGGAAAATAGAATTTTCAATTTTTCGTGGTCTTTTGTTAGTATTTGCCCTCCTTTTTTTCCTGGTTATTTCCGGATTGAGTGCACCGGAAATGTAGGATTATGAAGTTGGACTGCTTAGAAAATGAATTTTTGGCTATATTAATCTGGGACAGAGACCTCGGCTCTGTTTCTGGTTGACTGAGTTTAACCTAGAAAAAGATCAGAAGACGATTATCCTATATCTGATACGAGGGAATTGGGAGGAAAAGAAGGGGAGAAAAAATTTTAATAAGTTAAATTTAAAAAATTAGAGAAATAGGATTATAAAATTTCAATGAAAAGAAGATGTAAGATTAAAGGATAAGAAAAATAATTAAAAACTTTTAATTCTTTTTTTTTTTCAACTTTTTAAATTGTCCTCATTGAATTTCTTCCTCCCTTTCTTTTTCCTCATAGAATTGCCAATTTTTGTTTCAGGAACACGTAATGTCGAATTTCTCGATATTTTTGCCGTTCGTTTTTAAATTAGGGATTGAGTTGACCAGAAATGTAGGATTATGAATTTTGACAACGTAGTTCACTAAGTAATAAACTTCATCCTTGCCAACTGGGGATAACAAAGTGACTCTGTTTCAGAGCTTCTGTGTGGAATCAGGAAGGAAGCAGAAGGAGGATTTCTTCCCTCTAATGTTGCTTCATCCATGGAACAAGTCTATCACAACTACAAAAACGCAGTAAGTTTATATTCATTGGATATCCTCTTCTGTATTTATACTCACAATTGGCTTTTACTTGTGTAATGTGGATATGGTGCAATTGATTTTTAATGCCTTCTATCTCTAATTATATACTCCTCCGATCTAGATATAAGGGTGCACATATATTAATAGAATTAATCAAGTTAGTTATTTGTAATCTGTTTCTTAAAATAGTTTTTTAATCATTACCTGTAATAAAAAACTTATAAGTATATTATTTCGTCCCTTATTATAAGATCCTTTTAACTAAATTGCGCGGTTTAAGAAAACAGTTAAAATTAGTTAAAAGCAATTAATATGTAGTAAATATAATTTTTTACCCAAATATACTCCTATATATAAATGAGTAGATGTGAGAGAGTAAAAATGAGATAAATGAAAAAGAAGAATGTATTAAATGTATTAACCTATGGGTAAAATAGATAATAGTGCATTAAATGTTCGGACAAACTCAAAAAAGATCTTATGAAAAGAGACAAAACTATTCAAAAAATAGATTTTATAATAAGGAACGGAAGGAATAATTAATACGGATAATTTGGGAAACAAATTATAAATTTAAGATGATATATATTAGAACTAAAATAAACTTCTTTATTAGCTTTTATATTTAACACCGGAGGAACATATACTTCTAACATTTAAGCTAGGGACATGATACTTTTCTTATGTTGGAAAAATTATGTTTCAGGTTTCTCGAAGTGGGGATCCACGAGCAGATGAGATTGTACTATCGAATATGACTATTTTCTTAGACCGCATATTTATGGATGTAGTGGTAAGATTGGATTCTACGTTTCTGTGTGCCTTTTGTTTAATTTGCCAGATTTAATTAATTATCATTTCATACGAATATCAAGCTTATAACGTTGTTTTTGTTTCCCCCAGGATCCTTTTGTCTTTAAATCACATCATAAGGCAAAGCGAGAGCCTTTTGACTACTACCTATTTGGTCAAAATTATATTCGCCCTTTAATTGATTTCAGGTCAGTTCATAGCTTTATCACTCATTCTTCATCTCATATTTGTTAGTCTCGTTTTTTTTTTTTAAAAAAAAAAAGCTGGATGTTTACGAAAATGTTCTTCAAAATTCACTCATATTATCGCATATTGTGCCATAATATCCATATAGAAATATACGACAAAAAATGTATCAAGGCGAATCAATTTGATTTCGGAGATAACTCGGTTTTTTATTTTTTAAATAACGTTATATTTTTGCCTTGGTGCAGAAATTCATACATTGGCAACGTTTCCCTTTTCTATGAAATGGAAGAGAAACTTAAACAGGTGCTAATTTTTAACATCTAATATGTGATTATTATTTTAGATTCTTTGCTTGTCCAAAAACATTGATAGTATTTGTATTAATTTTTTTCTAATTAAACTGGAATTTCCTCCGCTTAAAATTGTGAAGACATAAAGAATGGAAAATTTAAATAAGATTGTGCTTGTTATTGCATTCATTTGTCTTTGCTTATATTTTTGCATTCATGTAGGATCCTTCTATTTAATTCTAAAAATTTATGATTGTAAAAGGACAATTCTGAGAAACTGAAAAACCTAATGCAGGGACACAATATTATCTTGATGTCAAATCACCAAACTGAAGCAGATCCTGCAATTATTGCATTGCTAATTGAAAAGTTCTTTCCATATATTGCTGAAAACCTGGTAAATTTTCTATTTTTATTCTCTCACTGCTCAGCAAAAAAAAAAAGTCTTTAATGGACGTTTATAATGCTCAAGTTGTCAGATTCTCTGTTTTTGTCTTACAGACTTATGTAGCTGGAGATAGAGTCATAACTGATCCTCTATGCAAACCCTTCAGTATGGGCAGGTTCAATTTCCTTCAGTCTTCTATAGCATTTACACTAAGATTCATGCTCACATGTTTTCCTAGGTGAATGAAGTTAAGCTTTTGTTGACTTTCGATTCTTGTTTCTAGGAATCTGATTTGTGTTTACTCTAAAAAGCATATGAACGATGTTCCAGAACTCATAGAAATGAAAAGAAAAGCAAATACACGAAGTTTGAAGGAAATGGCCATGCTTTTAAGGTACATGTACTAGTTTACCTGGAAATGGCTGCGCAGTTTGAGTCCTCCATAGTACATCTTCTGTTTGTCGTGTTTATTATAACATGCTGCTTCTTGTGTACAGGAGTGGCTCACAGATAATTTGGATCGCACCAAGTGGTGGCAGAGATCGACCAGATCCTGTAACCGGAGAATGGATTCCGGTAGGTTGTGAAATAGAAGATTCTATTGTAATGTACCTCATGTTGTTTAAAATGATGAGTAACATCACCAATTTTATGGGCTTTCCATTGCTGCTATGAAACATTCAGGCACACTTTGATGCTTCTTCAGTAGACAATATGAGAAGGCTGGTTGAAAATTCGGGCGTACCAGGTCATATGTATCCTTTGGCATTGTTGTGTTATGATATAATGCCCCCTCCTCCTCAGGTATGGCATCCTTGGCTTTAAAGGATCCCACTGATATTTCATTGTTTGTCTTACTGTAATGGGTGCTTAAGTGGGATAGAGAACCCTACCTCAAATAAGTTAAGTGTTGAGATAGGAGAACCAACCCACTTAAATTTATTGAACATTCTATTCTACTCAACGTGGGATTTGGTGTCATAGACTCCCAAGTCTCCATCGTATTGAGACCATGTAGTTCTGCAGGTAGAAAAAGAAATCGGAGAGGAAAGAATTATCTCCTTCCATGGGGTTGGACTCTCAGTAGCTCCAGAGATGAACTTCTCTGAAACTGCTGCTGCTTGTGAAACTCCTGAAATGGTAAGTTAAATCTGGCTAATCACATTTATTACCTCATCATTACACTTATTTTCTTCTGACAACCCACGATTATCTTTATTCGATTCTTGATCACTCAAGAATGTGTCATAACTGTTCCTTTAGCATAACTTGGTCTCAGTAGTTATATTGGTGCATATAGTACACAAGTATTCATACTTGCGGGCTACAAATTGTGTGTTTACATTCCCTTTTCATTTTGATTATGTCTTGAAACAGAGCCCCCATCATATTTGGTTAATTTTGATTGAAGCCATATGAGTTTTTTATATGGTGCAGGCTAAAGAGGCATATACGGAAGCCCTGTACAATTCTGTGACAGAGCAATATAATGTGTTAAAATCTGCTGTGCACGGCCACCAAGGATTAGAAGCTTCAACTCCAAATGTGTCTCTGTCACAGCCATAGAACCAGCTCCAATCTGTATACGATCAGGAGAAGCCTCTTTTATACAAGCTTGATGGAAATTTACAGCTAGTTATATATCTTCTTTTTGCTTTTTCAATCTAAATATTTTTACTGTGCATATCTTGTATGAGGGTTTCATTCATTGTTCTTTTTTTTTTCCAACGAAAGGTCCGGTTAAACTGTTCATTGTACATGTCCGTCTTAGTTCTCTGTAACATTGAACCGTGTAAGGTTACATGTTAACTTACCCAACACCTGGTATTAGGCTCTGCTTCTTTTTAACCCCCTAGCTGAATAAAAGGTAAGGTTATTTTCTTGAAATTGTAAGTTCAGATTTGATCTCTTTCACAGTTTACCATTCATTGGTGGCGACTTTCGGCCTGGCACGGTTTAAGTATACAATTTGGTAAATTGACTTGAGAATTTGAATATCTTACTATTAATTTCCTCAGTCATCATTAATTAATAGCATAAGACAAATTCAAAACAATTAGAAGTTCCGGAATACTATTTTTTTTTTTGCCCACTTTCACATGAGCATGCCAAGTATCAGTTGACTTAGCTTTATTTATAGATAACTGTCATGTTACTTTAAATATAAAGAATTTATTTCACTCCAATCCAAAAACACTTGATCTAGGGGGAGTTTAAGCACTTCAAAAAAAGTATTTTCACGTAATCAGGAAAAAAAATCCATTTTTTATATTTATCTTAAAGTCACTTTTAAAAAAGTAATTCAAAGAACATGGGAAAATTTTAAACGCGGGTATTTAAAAAAAAACTAAAAATCATGTTGTCAAGAAATAATTGCGTGTATTTTATAGTGAACACGGCTATTGTCTACGATTGGTCATGTTGGAATCCCATGAAGCGGAGGAGGCAGGTGCCGGAATGATTTACATGGGCTTTTTGGTCAATTAGTCCAGATTCTAGAATTTGCTTCACGAACCAGGTAGTCCGCTCAAGCTGATCATATCCAATAAAGGCCAATAGGAACCAACTTTTTTTAAAAAAAAAATATTAAGTGACAAAAAATCGGATCATTAATGATTGAAAAATCAGAAATCCAACTTTAAACTAAGGTGAACAATGAACCTAATCATGACGAAAATGATATAATTTAAATTATATATACAAAAAAATTGTATCTACCTTTTAAAAAGAGTAATGTCTAAATAAAAATCCATTAATTTACTACGTGTAAAGAACTGCTTTTGAGAAAAATAAAAAACTTCGACCAACATGATTTGGGTATTAATACCAACGTTAAGAATACAAATTATTTGTACACGTCATGTCATGTGCGTAAACAGAGAAGGGGCTCTTTTAGTTTTCCTCTGGAGAGGACGATGCATCGAGGTGGAGTGGGAATTCGAAGGGAAAAGCCAAGCATGCGCCCCTTACGCCCCTCCTACTACGTGCTTCCCTTTTCTTATTCCTTTTCCTTTGGATTAGGATTCCTCTCATCTCAATCTCGTCCATATTCTCTCTACTCATTCCCACATTTTACATCTCGTAGCCTTTCCATAGATCCCTCCCCCCCTTTTCTGTTCATATCTCATGCCCACACGCCCCCCACCTTTCCCTCGTAAGGGCTGCTCGGATTTATCTAAAAGTGTTTTTTAAAAGCACAATTTTATAAATCGAAACAAATTCCTCTATGTATTTATTTCATATACTGTAACATTGTTTTTAAAACTATAGTTTGGTTTCTATTCAAAAACTTCCTAAATTACTTTCTCCCTTTGATTCTATATTTGTACTCTTCTTAATGTTAATGCTTTTTCCATTTTTTTAAAAATAACAACAATAATTATTATTATTATTATAAACAGGCCACACCATGTAAAGGCACGGCTCGGCCCCTGATTCAAGGCCTCTGGATTCTCCTCACGGAAAAGATTAAAACTTAAAAGCACAACAAAGCTTTATTCTTTTTTTTTAAATAAAATAAAAGGAAAAGGGGAAAAAAAAACACGTTGAATCCTTGTGTCGTTTCAAATAATCCCGAAGGGGGAAAAATGGAGAGATGACAGTACGTGCATGCACCGCTGAACAAGGGATTTTTGAAAGTGAGTTAAGGAGCAGCCCAAGACGCACAGTAGGCGCTGTTTTTGTTTCTCTTTTGTTGCGTTGTGTTCCTTCTTCCTATAAGATTCCAACTTGCCTTTTCTTAATAAACCCGACAACATCATTAATCAAATCAACAATTTTTAACTTTGCCATTATTATTAAGAAAATGCCCATTGCCAGTGGGGCTGTCCCCACAACCGCCCCGGACGGACGTTCACTGCATCTCCGTCTTAATTACTCCTTCAGCTTTTCATTGTAAAAGACATTTGATACTTATAACGTATTTTTATATATAAGAGACACTTAAAAGTTGTTTCTATTTTTTTGTATTGATTTTTTATTTTACTCATATTTATTGTTTCCAACTCACACTCTCTCTCCTTCCCACTCCTATTTTTTTGAATAATTTACCATTGTTCTCTTTCATGCTCTCTCTCCTTATTAATGAAGGCTTTTTTTAAAAAAATTATATCTTTTACATATTGATTATTTTTAACTAATTTTAACTGTTTTTTTTATTAACCTAATTCAGTTATTGATCTCTTATGACAGGAAACGTGAGGAGTAACTCCTAAACGCTAACAACACTGTTTATGGTAATCAAGTGTAGGGGTCATGTCATTTGAGTAGATACCATACACGCTATATTTCAGTCTCGTGTATGCTTCCTTCTTCCCGTCATTAACTGCTTTTTTTTTTTTAAAAAAAAACTACATTCTATTCTTAATATAAAAATTACTTAACTAATTTGAGTAGATTAAAAAAATTAATTAAACTAGTTATTTGTGAACAATAGGTATTATTTTTCTTAAAATATCATTCCTAATTAAGTATATTAGTTAGAACAACAATTATTATAAAAACTATCTTGAAAACAAAATAGATAAATATACGAAACAAAATGAAATGGGATCTTATTTTTAAGATTGATTAAGATAAAAGTCAAGTAAGATCTTATATAAAAAATCGGAGGTACGACTTCTCAAGCATGAGATCTGCCTAATGCATGAATAAATCATTCAGTATGCAAGTAAGAATTCCTCATTAAAGCAACCAGGTCTTTGTTTAATCACACTTATTGATAGTTAAAATCTTACGCCTTTATATTATTTCAAGTCCCATTTTCTAATTGAATTATCAAATTAGAATTTTTAACCAATTTTCTCTATTTTTTTTCACAACTGTTATACCATGTACACACAGTGCACATCACATTGAAGTTGTAAAGCAGGAGGAACACAGACTGTTGCTATCTGTGAAGAGCCGTTCACAAGTTTTTCTTTTTTTTGGCCAACGGTTGTTTTTTTTTGTTTTTGAAACACGGATTGATGGTTGAATTACTAAAAAAGGATTGCGGGATATCCGTTTAAGGGAATAATTGATGAAGTTGATTGGCCAAAAAAGAATAATTGACGGAGTTGCGAATGAGTCCAAAAGGTGAAGCTGATCCTGCTCATAATACACGTGGAAGATAATGAGAGGATCCCACTCAGGGACATTTTCCAACGTAGATTTCCAATATCCAAGGGATCGCTTGATGCTTTTCATGAAAAAAGAATATTTCCCCACTCGAATAATCAAATAAATTTTATTTACAATTATCTCTTTTTTTTTAGCTGAATATTTACAATTATCTCTTATTATAAGATTTTTTAATTCAATTATATAATTTAAAAAAATTAAAATTAGTTTAAGATAATTAATATGTAGCAAATATATTTTTTTTCAAATATATCCTTATATATAAATAGGTAAGTGTGGGAGAGTAATAGTGAGATAAATAAAAAAAGAGAATATATTAAATGTATTAAATTAGAGGTAAAATAGGTAGTAATACATTAAATGTTCAGACAAATTCAGAAAAAGATCTTATAAAAAGCGACAAATCCATTTAAAAAATTAGATCTTATAATAAGAGATGAAGGAGTACTCTTTTTTTTTAAATTAAATCATATTTTAATTTAAAATATAATTAAAATTTAGTTAGGCTCAATAGATAGCAAAATGAAATGAGACGTATAAGCCATATATATACGTGTGTGTATTATTAATTTACATTTTTTATTTTTTTTAATATGTCCAGCACAGAACCAGTTAATTCGACCATTATGTTGGTAAGTTTGCAACAGCAAATGGAGCGTGACAATTAGACGTGATTATTTTTTAAGCTTCTATGTCCTTCGTTAAGGTTTTGATTTGAGATATTACCTTCAAATCTTAATATGATATTACCTTCTATTCTTAATATAAGATTTTATTTGATTTTTATTTTGATCCTAAATATAAGACCACAATCTACTTTATCTCTCATATTTATTCATCTTTTCTTAAGATAATCCTTCTAATAATAGTAGTTTTAGTTAATAAATTTGATTAGTAAAGATATTTTAGAAAAGATAACACTTATTTATTATAAATAACTAACTTAATTTATTTTTTTCAAATTAGTCAATTAGCTGTTATATTTAATACCAAACATAGTATATAATTTAAAAACTAGAAATAATACTTGTTATCATTTTAGTGTTCTATAAGTTATCGTATCGTTTTGGGAGGCACTTACGGAGATGAGTGATGCTTTGCTCCTCCACATCACTCTTCTATCTTATTTGGACCAGCATTCGAAATTATTTACAAACACGTCTTATAGAAATCAAATAAAATTCTTTTTACATATTTATCTCATATTTTATAAATTATTATTAAAAAAATTTATAAATCATTTTAAACAGTCATTCATCTGTGTTTTTCATGGCTATATGGTTGAATTTGCGTGATTTTTTTAGTTTTAGCTTTTAACCTTATCACGACTTGAGCTTTTTCGATTGGTTTTTTTGGTTGGTGTAACTTATTTTTATATCAAAATGTTTGTTGATTGTTGATAAAAAAACAATGTAAGCATTGTCAACAGGGTCTTCCTGGCTGCCTCCTGCAGAACCAACTAATTATGAATGGGGACAATAATTAAAATTCAACGTAGCAGTATTTTTTTTGGACTGACAGATTCAGTGTACTGTGAAGAAAAATATTTTAGATTGTTATTTGAGCCAAGAGTATACTCTTTTTTAATAAACTAATAGTACGTAATTTATTTTATTTTTGTGTATATCAAAATGTAAATACATAAAATAAAACTTACGAGAAATTGTGCTATTTATGATCCTTTTTTTTTTTGGAGTAAATTTATGATCCATTCGGTTTCAACTTTCAATATAACCGAACACCGATCGGCGGGAAAAAATCCCATC